GACATATCTCTCAGAATCCAGGCATAAAGCTGCAAACGTGGATGCGGGAAGGATGGAGGGTATTCATACTGTCTTTTTTTAAATTGCTTCCCAAGCCCTGGTGACATATGATTCGCCGAAAGACCTACAGATTGAGGATCTCCAGCTGTAATCGCGGAATTGTGCACCCTTATAGCTGGAACTTTACATTTGAATTGCAGTTAAGAAGTTCAACTTGGCCATCTGTAATGTGCATTACGATTATGCAAGCTGATAAAGTTGGCAAATTGAGGCAAGGCTGTGGTTTTCTGGGAATGGCTGTTAGTGCTCAAAATTTGCATATTGTTCATGTACTAAGACTCCAGTGCAAAGCCTATGTTCATCAATATGTTTTTTTTTTCAAGAGCGGGTATCGTGCATATAATTTGTTTTATCATATTGTAGATTAATACATTGTTTCTATTTTTATCATATTGTAGATAAATACCTTATATCTTCTTGGAGTGATGCTACCTTCATTTGATCTGTCGCACATCTGATGCAGAGTTATTTTTATGGCTCATGGGCACACTTGTCCTCTCATTAAAATGCAAGGCTCGTTGTGGCTTGCAGGTCTTCGATTCGGCGGCTGGCCAGCTAGCCGCTTTTGTGACAAACTGATGGTTTATGACTCGTGCTAGTTCCCAGAACCGGTTTTGGGCTTGTAAGTGTCGAAAAATAGGTACTAACTATTTTCGGTTTCAGACTATCGAAATACATCTACCAAGATCATTTTTCCAAAGGTGCTTCAGTTCTTTTTCCGGGGACACCTACATCCCTGTCGGAGCGTTTCGACGGAAGCGTCTGCATGATGGAACACGATGGGTGTATTTCAGAAAATATTTACAAAACACAAGGAAGCGAATAAAGAGTCGGTCAAAACAATAATCCCAGGTACAAAAAACGACAACTAAAGAATGCGGCAAAAAGAACGGGATATAGTTATCACCAGGACTTCTAGAAATACCACGACCGAGACGGGAGAGGGGGGGGGGGGGGGCAGTGATCAGGTGACGAACAAGCAGCCAACGCAGGAGCCATCCGGCCAGGCAGTGCAACAGAGCCGCAGCTCTACTCGCATGGTGCCTGGTGAAGGGCTCCTCTTCGCACATACACGCCCGCGGATTACAAAGTCTCGTGCAGGGTCACAGTGGGGCGTCAGGATCGAGCGGGTCTACCCTTCCTATACAATATCGGTGCAGCATTATCTTTCACCTCACGGAATAGAGATACTCTTATAGTATGACCTTGACACCAAAATACTCGAGCTGCACAATTTTGTATAGGACAGAAGCACTTATGCCACACAAATGTACAAAGGAGAGACAACATTCGTGCTGCACAATTGTGCATGGAACCACCAACATGAGCTAGTACCTTATTCGCTACGTTATTTCAAGCCATGAGCTTAATGACCATGTCGACCTGGAGCATACCGCACGGCTTGAAAGAGTGTTGACGCGTCAAGCTCACATGTGACTGCTCAGTTCTCACGCTGAGTCTTGTACTGACTTCTTATTGATGTAGTCGTAAAATTTATCTATGTTGACATCTAAATTCGTTTATCGATTGTCATCACTTTACCATCGTTCGTTTTTACCAGTGGCTGTGGTATCGCAGTGACGCTACAGTGGTGTTCTGGTCAACCCGGCTCGGCCGCGCATGTGCCCACGAGAAGCGTGTTTTCGACGGTTGAGCCGTGGCGGTGTTCTGGTCCGCAGATGTGCCCACGAGAAGCGTGTCTCCGACGGTTGAGCCGTGGCGGTGCTCTGGTCCACAGATGTGCCCGCGAAAAGTGTGTCTTCGACGGTTGAGCCGTGGCGGTGCTCTGGTCCACAGATGTGCCCGCGAGAAGTGTGTCTCCGACGGTTGAGCCGTGGCGGTGCTCTGGTCCGTAGATGTGCCCGCGAGAAGTGCGTCTTCGACGGTTGAGTCGTGGCGGTGCTCTGGTCCGCAGATGTGCGCCGGAGCAGCGTGCACAGTCCCGACGGTTGGATTGCAGCGATGTTGATGCTCGCCAGAGACGGCGCAGTTGTATTCAATGAGGGGGGGGGGGGGGGGGGGCGAGGGCATGTACTCCTTTAGCAAACTGCTGCATGCATCATATCCAAGTACATTAGAGTCGGCATTTAAACAGCAAGATGGGGACCTTCTCTCCTGATGCAAAGAGGGGCCTTCTTACTCAGAATAGGATACCTCCGATTCATGAAGGGGCCTCCAGATCTAGAAAAGAGGCCTCTTTTTCGCAAAACAGCACATCCTTATTCGGAACTGCGGCCATCTGATATTTGAAAAGGCCTCCTTTTCCAGAAATGCAGTCTCCTAAATATAGAGGGTACCTCCTAACGGCAGGACAGGGCAGCATAGCTTATAACGGGTACCTCCTCAAAGAGGCCCTTCGGACCCTTCATCATGGGCCTGCTCTTCGGATCCTTCGATCGGACCCTTGATCGCCGTTCCCTTGGGACTCAAAGGGGTTCTCGGGACCCTCGGGACCGGGACCTGTGGGTCAGTCCTCAAGTCAACATCGGGACCCTCGGTTTCTCGTGAAGAAAATGGAGCAATTGTTGTGCCCTCTGCGGCTTGAGGTCATTTGAAATAAAAGGGTTTGGAGGCCGTCGTGTTGCCTCCCTAGAAGTGGGTGCCTTTTCAAAATGCAAGTCGTGATGCCCGAAATGAAGCCACTAGGTATCTCTTCTCCGAGAGGCCAGACTTAGGATTTCGTTCGGGTGGAAGGCACAGAAGTTGTGTTTTGATTGGTGGTGATTGGTGCCCCTGATTTTGGTACCCTTAGAAAATTGAGATATCGGGTTCCTTCAAATGACCCGTATGGTGGCCCGTCATGGTGGCCCGAGCTGTTCCAGGATTTCGTTCTGCGTGGGGGGCAGAGCATGCAAATGAAAGCTTGGTGCACTCTGGAGATAGGCGCGCATTGAAAACCAAGGTTATGGTGTCGGAAATAATGGGCCAAGTACTCCTTTGCCGAATGGGCCGATCCAAGATGTTGTCAAGCGGACAGAGCACACCTATTGCAGTGACCCTTGAAACGCGCACAGGCGGCCGGTTGGATACCCTTCGCTCGGGTGGGGGAGAGATCAATTTGACACCGCTGAAATCTGAGGAACTAAAAGAGCTCAAAAGACACCCAAGTCCACAGGGTGTGCTGGTCGGTACGTCAACTTACTTAGGTCAACGTTTGAGGTTCCAAAATATCGACTTTCGGGTTAAATAAGTTCAGATAAGGTCAAACTCAGGTGGATCTCCAAAGCCTTCCAAAACCTAGATACATGCTCTAAGCAAAAAGTTACATGCTCATTTAAGGTCATTGACCTTGTTTGACCTTTCTAAGGTAGTGGTGACCAAAATCATGCAAGACTGCTTTGAGTTTCGCATTTGAATAAACGAAAAAGTTAACGCTATGCTGCATACCTCTAAAATTAAAGTGTTGACCTGGGTCATTTCAGGTCGCTTACCTGTTTTGACATTTGAGAAGCTCACGAAAGATGCATGATGCGGTTCCTGTCATCAATAAACACGAAATGAGCACCAGAAACTACTGCATACAGCAGGTCCTAAAGTTGTAAAGCAGATTTGTTTTGACCTCGGTCTGGCTTTCTTACCTGATCCCAGGTTAATGAAATTGTTCGTTCAATTGTTGTGTTGTCTAAAAAAGCATCTCAGAGATGTATGGCTTCGTTTCTCACTCCGGCACGAATACATGGCACGATTTTGACCTGTCGTAGGTGAGCAAACTTACGATGTGCACCTGAAGTTTTGATACCGAGCGATCCGCTATTCAAGTGTCTTTAGCTATGTAAAATTTGGCTGAGCTACGTCGCGTCATTCGGAAACCTTTCTGGAAAAATCTTTGCGAGGATCAAATTGACTTCCCACCTGAGCGCGTGTTGAATTCGGTGCCTCCTGAACATGAAAGTTGATGACTCTTTGCAGTCTCGATGAAGTTTGGTACCTCTTGGAAACAAAGGCTGTATAGTTTTGTAATTAGAATTTGGTATTCTTTCACCATGAGTGTAAAACCTCATAATTGGCCAAAGAGGGAGAGTGACATGGTCTCACGCCCTCTCCCACTCACTCTCAAGATACAACCCCGTCTATACTGTTCGATTACAAGCAGAATGAGGCCATCAGCTTAAGGCAGTCCTGGAGCATTGCCATCACGCCATTCTATGAAATCTTCTTGAACCGTAGTGGCTGTCACTTCCGAGAGAAGCCCAACAGCCACTTAAGATCGTTGCCTCCCCGCATCCTCATGGAGCGGCCTCGAAGCAGTACCATTTAAGGGTATGTGCCTTGTACACAATGGCAGGCAGATGTTGTGGCCAGATAGTGGCTGGCTGTTCTGTAAATGACACGTCTTGGAACCAAAGCGGGGCGCAAGATCGGTGTAGCAAATTTTCGGAAGCTATGAGGCGTCTATGAAGAAACTTTCACAAACTCCATCTGCTGTTTCTTGCCCATTCTCAAGAGCTGACCCCTTGAGGATGGGCACAGATCGAAATTTTTAGTACCTACAATATACTCGTTGTTAAGCACTACAATGCCGTTCAACCAGAATCTTTTGAGATAGCGAAAGTCGTTGGCTCAACGCAGGAACTTTGAGTTCATAATAAAAAACGGAAATGAGAGGATTTTCTTTTCTATACTAAGGCTAAATTATGGCAGCAGAGTAAAATGGATAAAATTTGTGAAGAAATAAATTTCGGAAATAGGATGGATAAAGTTCATGGGTTCGCTCACCCCTACCCCCCTATAGGACTAAACGCTCATACGCTCATAAACGCTATAGGACTAAACTACCCCCTAACGCTAAACCTATAGGACGCTCGCCCCTAAAAAAAAGGTAGAAACCAAAAACGCTAAGAGGTGATCATTCTAGTGACGTCATTTGGACCTTTGGTCAAAGCCAGAAAATGAAGTATTGAGTTCCGCCAATACAGCACCTTGTACGCTGCATTCTTGGTGTGAGGGCAGGGTAAGTCCTTCATTTCTAAGAATTGAAAGTTATATCTGGTTATTTTTGTCCAGAGTACAACAGACAGCGTTTTCTTGAAGCTTTTTTACTATTTGCACATGACCTGATGGTGAGGTGCGTTTTTTGTGGACCACGGGTGGTTGAGGTGTGCCGCGCCCATTTGCTTGTCTGTGATCAACTGGACGGGGGCTCAACTTTTGGGTGGATACCCATCGCACATTTCTTGCATGTACCTTAAATAATACATCTTACACATCATACATCTTACATACTGGGACTGACACTCTTATTGCATGTTATTTGAGGTAGTGGTGGTGGGTGCCATGCTGTCACGTTTCCCATGTTTTGGATCTTTAAAGATTGCAAGATAAATGCATTTTAGTAGTACAGGGTGGCAGATACTTCAGTGTGATGTAACATAGTTTTCATTTAGTGATATAATGTGTAGGTGAGAGGGGTTGGTATAGGCGGGAAAAAGGGCAACCTGCCTTCAAAGCACCAGGAAATGGAATTCTGCCAGGATTCAACACACTTTCTTCTCAAAGGTGCTGGGGGGCTCCAGGCCCCTCTCAACTTAACAGGAAACTGTCTTACTTTGCCTCTTTGGACTTTTCATCCTCTGACTATTCCATTTTGTGTTATCCTTGTTGACTTTATTAATTCCTGTTGCATTTTAGGCTCAGGTCTTTTCAGTGGCTTTTCTAATTCAACCATTAAATCTGGTGACTTTTTGCCTTTTTGCTCAACATTTTACAGTAAATTTTTTGCTCTGAAATGGAAGAGCCATCCTCAAGCAAATGGGTTAACCCCCTTTAATTTTTTTTCCAGCCCCTGAGGCCTGTCCCATGTGACTCACAAACTAAGATATGCATGGAACCCATCCAACCTTCCTTCCACTTTGATATCCAAGGATGCAGGGGTGCAATAGTGCATGCTATATGGCTTAAAGGGAATGTTCCACATTTGATGGTGTTAAGCAAGCATCACATATGAGGAGATAAGACCACTTACAACTATTGGTACACTTTTAAGTGGAAAGACTGCTCTAGACAACACAATTTCTGTATTAATTAAATATGTTCCTCAATGTTATGGGGAAATTGAATAAAGATACATTCAAATAGCAGAATTTACTTGCGCTGTTTGTTTTGATGAAAGCATGCTCTCAAAATAGGAAAACATCTATATCTTTATTCTCTTTGTTTTTATATGAGGGATAAGGCTATTCCTACTGTTTCTTGTTTATTCTTGAATTGCTTGATTCTAAGTCCTATTTCTGTAATAACTAGCAAGAGAATAAACTATGTCCAACTTCTTATCTTATGTAGCACAAAACATGATTCGTGATCAATTAACAGCTTGCTCAGCATAGTTTGACAGCCAATCCATGTCTAGGATATTTGGGAATAGCACTGACGGCCGTCGGATCTGAACGGCTGGACGACAATGTGTTTCTCGGCCTCGAACGCGGCCCGCTCTATGGGGTGGCAGGGTTTGAAGGACCCTGCTATGGTGTCGCTCATGCCTTAATGACCGTGAAATAGACTGCACGAAATAGGCCGCGCACGTTCGCGGGCTTGCAGCTCAGAAACAAGTGGGTTTTAGGTCTCAAGAAGGGCAGGGTTGTACACTGCACTGAATTGCCTTCAAAATGGCTATGTTAGCTCAAAACCCTTGCAGATGTGGAACACTTCCTTTGATCTAATAACTTGCTTTTTTGCAGGCTGTTGTGCAAGTGACAGACACTTGTGGAATTACGTAATGGCTGACCCAAAGTATGCAAACCTTCCAGGTCTGGTAAGTGCATTGGTACTCATGTGCTCAACAAAGCTGAAATTGATTGGACAGTTAAGTGATAAGAGATGTCTTATTTGTTGCCAGTCTTTAAATTAATGCTTTTTTGTGTGTTATAAACTCATTTTGACCTTTTTGTTGGATTTCTGCAATGAGTGCTCACTATAAGCAATGCTTCTTGTGTAACTCAATATGACCACATGATTCCATGGTTCGATTGTGAGATTCCAGCTGAACAGCGTAGCTTTTCGACAAGATTTGAGTGTATCACAATGCTCAGTGTGGTCCGCCCCGCCCTCTGACTTTAAGCGGCCTTGGGCGACTGCTGTCAGCGGCAGCGGACCCATCCGGTGAGGAGGAAATCAGGAGCACCGAAGTAACTCAAATCCACCCATCCTGCCACGGATGGAGCGGGGAGGGGGCGGGGGACGCTCTAACCCATTGAGTTATGGGGATGGTCTCGACTATGACGTTGCATATATGCGGCATCAATCGGTGACGCATCTCGACATCTAAAGCATCCATCAGGTGTTGACACTCAGTAGACATCATGACGCCCCACCGCTCTTGATGGCATGTTCTGACTTTTTGGTTTGCTTTGATGATGCGAAGGCGTATCTTGGTTTGTGATGCATAGGTGTCTTTAATATACCACTTTTACCTCGCCGTGCAATGTTAGTCGGATTCAGAAATGGTCCCCGTGGCTTCAGGCGGTGTAGGGGGTGACTCATCACGAAAATAATGCCAACAATGTCCTTATAAATTCAACGCTTGTGAAGCAAACCCCGGGCCCAAAATGGCCCGGCAGGCCCGAGATGGCCCATGCTGCCAGCGTGTCACAAGTCACTTATAACCACATAGGGAAGCCCGGGACATTGCGATGCTAATCCGAAGACTTTGCCACCACGCCGCTCACTGTCGCATTCTACCACTGCAGGCTCCTGATGACGAGCCAGATACGTTTGAGACGGATGAGCGACCGGAGGCCGACCAGGATGCCGATTATGACGTACGTCCTACAAGATGTTTGTGGCAGCTAGTCTTGCGCTATCCGTTCACATTCCTCAGCCCTGTGGGTGGCTGATGTTCAGCGTGGTCAGAACATTTGTTCGTGATTTCAGCTGATTCGTGGTGATCAAATACATCCGCGAGTTTCGTGTAAGCGTGACGACATCATTTTATCGCATATCTTTAACACGACTTGCGGCAAGATTTCAGTGAACACGGTACTTGGAGAGCTTTCTGGATCGAGTGTTCGCTAAAACTGGTGGGAAAGTCGACATATTATGCTCCAGGAAGTGTTTTTTTCTTCATACGTGCTTATTTGGGCGCCGGGCTATCTTTTGGTTTGAGTGCCCGACAGGAGCTAGGATTTAAGTCGACAGATGGAGCTTTGGGGATTGTTTTGTCCTTCATGTAAGCTGATTTTGTCAACAGGGACTGAGGGACTGCGATAAGTTGAATGACCGTTTGGGGTTAACTTATATAATAAGTTACAAAAGCCTGCGTACATCCGCAGTGGATTAAACTAACACGTCATGCGATTTTTTACAGGACGAAAGCGAGAACGTGGAAAAGCTGCATGTATCCGCCACGGAGGCCTTCAACAAGTTCAAAGACAAGAGCCTGGATGGCCAGAAGGCGGACTTCTCAGATCGCCTCCGAAGAGGACTGAACGTGAGCACGGGCAGGCTCGTTTGCCAGTCATTTTTATCCAACCGGTGGTGCTGTTTTCCAACGGTGATCCCACGTGTATGAACGCTCGGTCGTATTGTAATCCCGGTAGCTGTGATGAGATATCGTTGCCATTATATATTTCGTTGGGTACCGATAGAGAAGTGGTTAGGCTGCGTGTCTGAAACCAGAGGTGTGGGTTTCATTTCCCGCGGTGGCCGCTCTTCCCGCCAGGATGTGGGGCGTGGGGCAGCTCGACGAAAAGCCCAATGACAAGGGCAGTATATATTTTCTGAAGCCAAGTGCTGTTCAGAGGCGAACCTTGACTTTGTTACGTGCGCGGCTCAGTCATTCTCCTGGAGCTGATGCGTGTGTAGCGTAGTCACCTTCGGAGTCATGTCGCCGTGGCGCATGTGGGGCTGCCGAGCCCGCCGGCCTGACCCTGTGCCCTGCACGCGCGGCAGACGGGCTACGCGGCACGCACTGGCCAGTGGGAGCTGGCCGGCGAGGGCGAGCCAGAGACCGTCGTGCAGAAGTACCAGCGGCTGAAGCTGGAGGTGCAGCAGCTGGACGAGGAGATCGCTAGTGAGTGGGCGTAGGTTCGACAGCTGCCAGGATCGGTACGGTTTGCTGCAGTATAGTGCGACCACGTGTGTGCACTGGTGGCTGCCGCGCAGACGTCACACACGTACAGAAGTAGCGCTGAAAATGCGCCCAGCACTTCATCGGCGATAATTGCTATCAGGCGTGCGTGTTAACTTGCCGCCCATCGTTGACAACGTTTTATTGGAACGGTGAGGTGATGCGCCGCTTACTTCTGTACTTGATATGCATGGCCTGTTATCGTCCAGCACCTCCGGTACTGCAGGAAACGTGCATCACGGCGCCGCGCTCTCTCGCTGTCCGGCGTGACCCTGGCCGTTCGCCGCCGCCGCTGACCTCCCTCCCCCTCCCCTTCCCCAAAGGCGTGCAGTCGGGCCTGCAGCCGGACTCGTCGGAGGAGGATCGCTCGTCGGCCCAGATCGGCGCCGAGGTGGAGCGGCTGCACCGGCACCTGGCCGAGGTCAACCTCGAGCAGCTCCTCGGCGCTCAGGTGCTCAACGCCCTGGGCGACCCGCAGGGCGCGCTGCGCAGGTCAGCAGAGCGAGACGCTCCCGTCGGGCGCTCCCGGGAGCGGGGGCCGGTGTGCGCGTCGTGTTCATCGTGATGTGGCCTCGTGGTTGTAACGGTTTTGCATTTGTTGCCGTATGATCGTATAATGGTATCGTATTATAAGTGTGATGGTCTGCTCATTGCAGCTCTGAAATCGTGTTTCATGCTTGCTTTTCATGCACGTATCGCCTATCATGCTCTCCACCTGTGTCGTGCTGCAGCCTGGCGTATCAGTCTTAGCCCCCCCCCCCCCTCAGTAAGCTGGAGCTGCAGCTGTCCCAGCTAGCAAGCGGGGCCGCGCCAGCCGCCAAGTCGGCCGCTCCGGCCAGCGGCGAGGGGGCCACCTACGAGCTGCACGTGCGCCCTGAGAAGGCGCGCGCTCAGCAGGCGTCGGCGCTCGGCGAGCTGGAGAAGCGACTCGAGCGCATGGAGCGGGCCGTGGGCGCCACGCCGGAGAAGATGGTCAGTTGCGGGCGGTCCGTGGACGCTGGGTCCGGCCATGGCGAGTAGAAGATGACCTGTATATGCTCTATAGATATGCGATATATATACGCTCTATAGATATGCTAGATATCCTCTGAAATACATAGTCTGATGTAAAGGTGCTTTCTTTGATCTCAACGTGATATTATTGTATTGATTTAGAACTGGAAAAGTCACGAAATAGTTAAATAAACGTTGCAATTCCAGATATTTTATTATGATGCCGATCGCTTCATCAGCACAGACCTAGCTAGTTTGTATGTGTTAATATTTCTGGGGACTGCACAGGTATTGAGGTTCACAACATTGGTTCTTCAGCGCAGACACATGATATTAAGCCGCCATATATTTGGGGCGTTGTTGGACGTCTAGTTTTCTATTGTTGTGATCTTTGCTTTGTACGCGTGACGATGGTCTTATAAGTATGCAGTAATATTGTGAAAACACAGTGTCTGTGTCATACTCCTGCGTGCTTAGATCGCGCCGTCTGCTCCGCCGCCTCAGTCTCCCCGTGTGGTCGTGCGGGTACGTCGGTACCGGACCCCACCACCCGTCGTTGCAGAGCCGGCTGTCGGCCGAGACGCGGCAGCGCTCGCTGCTGTCGGCCGTGGCCACTCTCAGCTCGAAGGTGGCCCTGCTGGACCCGGCCACGCTGGAGGCGGCCGAGGCGCGCCTTCAGGCGCTCCACCAGCGCATGAACCAGCTGGCCGAGCAGCGCGCCGCCGGCGTCGACGCCGACAAACTGTCCACTGTGAGTCGCCGCGTCGTGGTGACGGCGGTGACCGGCGGTGACATGGGCTCCGTACTGGGGTGCGAAGGAAGACTATCCAGTTATATATAAGGCTATCCAGTTCTTGCGGAGTGAGGCGCTGTGACCAGGCCGTTGCTCAAAGGGAAATGAACAGCACAGAACAGCACAATTTTATCTCCCCCCCCCCCCGCGCTGCTCTTCACCCGGTGGGGAGGCTTCCGAGCATTGGCATGATGTCAGAGGGAGATGTCCTGGTTCCCAGCTGTATCAGGCCGGTGCAGTGCCACGTGGATACGCTCTCAGCCGGGCGCCAGGGGAGTGTGAGGCTCACACGATATGATCTTGATCTTGAGTGGCCGCTCCCAGCTGGCTGTATCATGAATCACCCGCCTTGCAGGGCGTGCCAGGCGGGTGCGTTTTTCTCTGGACAAGTTACCGCGGTGATACCTTTGTTTGATTGGGCTGAAAGATAAAGATAGCGACGAAAGAAGCGCGTTAAAAATATTTGCAAATCTAGCGCAGCCGAAAAATACCGATCATGAATCAGTTTGCCTGCCATCTAGCAGGACTTTGTGATGTTCATGTGCAAAATTAGCTCAGGAGGCTGTCCGATTCGATGCAGATGCATGTCCCTTGGCATATAGACCTACTCGAAATTATTCAGAAGTATCCTTGCAGCATTGCATCCTTGTGAGGGAAAGACAGAAAGGATCTCGGGACGCGGTGTGGTGCTGCGGCGTTCGGTACCGCCAAATAGAAGTGAAATAGCAGCATACGATATCATCACTTGGCGTGGTCAGCACCTGGGAGTGACTCACATGCTCCGGACATTCACCACAGGCCTATTATGATCATAGTCTGTTCCCTAACAAGTGTGGTGAGAGTGGGGTAAACAGGTAATACGGCGAAATGACGCAAAGAATGGCGGAGATAGATCCGCTTCCGTGTAGTGGCACTTAAACTGGGCACGACCCTCCAGTTCTCAAGCTGCGGTCGTCTTAAGATGCCATCAGATGCCTGATAATGTCATTCCGTTGTTGACGTTTTTCGGTCACATCTGACGGCCTGTTGCATCAGATTTGTGAGAGATCAGGTTTTCGTCAGTCTTTTGCTCCTCCGTGTGATAAACGTCATCGTAGTCCTTTTTTGCACGGCTGCTTATTTGCCAGGAAGCATGTCTGAACTATCGAATCGTTAGCTATATCTTCACGTCGCGTCGAACGGACAGGTTCTGTTCTCTTTGTTGTGATTACAGTCGCCGTGATTACACAGGTTTCTCCGTTTTTGGATCTGCCGCCTCTTGTTGAGCTCAAGATAGCTGGAATGCGTACCGCGCAGATCGTGGGTGCTAGATACCGATACTTGAGTTTCTTGACGGTTCCGTCCACATTACCGACATGTCCTCTGCATGGCTTGTGAGTTGTCAGTAAGTCTCACTGCGGCTGTTTTTGACAGTTGTGTTGACTGAAAGGGGAGAAGGGTGACGCCCCCCCTCAAGGTTTTTCGAGAACACATCTCCGGTATACCGTGCAGTCGCGCCCAAATTTTCAACAGCGTATGGGGCACCAATTGTGCGTGTTTTGACACCAAATACGTGTTCCTAGCTGTTATGGCTTTTGGGGCAGCGGCAATTTTTTAGGAGCACTGCACGGCGATCTACGGATGGTGTGCGTTTCCTGTATTGACGGGACGCAGTTTTTGCCCAGAGAACTTGTTCCATGCTCGATGACGCGCCAGCCCAACCCTAGCGCCCAGTCCCAGCGCCCAGTCCTAGCTCCTAGCCCCAGTGCCCAGCCCCAGTGCTCAGCCCCAGCGCCCAGCCCCAGCGCCTAGCCCCAGCGCCTAGCCGTAGATCCCAGCCCCAGTGCCGAGCTCCAGCGCACAGTCCCAGCGCCCAGCCCCAGCGCCTAGCCCCAGCTCCCAGCCCCAGCGCCCAGCCCCTGTGCCCAGCCCCAGCGCCTAGCCCTAGTTCCCAGCCCCAGCGCCCAGCCCCAGCGCCCAGCCCCAGCGCCTAACCCTAACTCCCAGCCCCAGTGCCTAGCCCCAGTGCCTAGCCCTAGCTCCTAGCCCTAGCTCCCAACCCCAGTGTCCAGCTCCAGCGCACAGCCCCAGTGCCCAGCCCTAGTGTCCGGCGCGATGATGTGATGTTACCGTGACTTCGGCCGTGTGGTGCCAATGCTTCTCATGATAAAGTAAGCGGAAGTCGACCCCCTTCCTGGACTCTTCAAAATTTCCTTGTGCATTAGTCATGTGGTGGGGACCGCGTGGTGCCAATGCTTCCCATGGTAAAGTATGCGGAAGCCGACTTTCTGGTTTCTCCAGCCTTTCCTTATGTAGTGATGTGGTACGGACCGCGTGTCTCAGCAGGTATCGTGTGGTACTGCAATCCGCCTAAGCTCGTGCTCGCCGTCAGATCACGGAGCTACACGACCTGATGCAGAAGACGGCCGGCGTCCAGGGCGAGCTGCCGGCCATCCTGGAGCGTCTCAACTCTCTGCAGACACTGCATGATCACGGTGCGGCTCGGGATGGCCAGGGCAGTTACTGAGTGACGCGTGCAGCTGATGACCAGAGCAGTTACTGGGTGACGCGCGCAGCTGATGACCAGGGCAGTTACTGGGTGACGCGCATCTGATGATCAGAGCAGCTACCGGGTGACGCGCGCAGCTGATGACCAGGGCAGTTACTGGGTGACGCGCGCAGCCGATGATCAGAGCAGCTACCGGGTGACGCACGTAGCCGATGACCAGGACAGTTATTAGGTGACGCGCGCAGCTGATGACCAGAACAGTTATTGGGTGACGCGCGCAGCTGTAGGCAATGCAGTGTTGCATTTGGTTATGAAATGTATGCATATGTGTCATTCTTGGCACGGTAAGTGTAAAAAGATGGTAGTCTTGCGTCCAGCCGTCATTTGTTGCGTAGCGTGCTGAATGCATACTTTTGTGGACTCTTGTGTAACGGAATGGCTTGGCCCATAAGTTTGTTGTTCTCTGTTCTAGGTAAGCCAGTAATATTGGCCTTATTCCCCGTAGAAAAACCCGGAGGATTGAGATATTGATGCGTTGATATTTCGGCAACATGGCTTTATCGAAACAAATAGCAGAAGTCGATTCAAAATTGCCTGCCGATGGTCGTACTCGATTTTTCTTCTTTTTTTTTAACGGCGAACCACGGCTTTTACAGGCCACCAACATTCCTGAGATTAAACGTGGAGCTGTTGCCAGCCATTACTATGATGCAGTGCATGTCTCATTAAGAATTAGAATGCGTGAAAAAAATGCGTGCACCTGCAAACGCATTCAAGTAAACAGGTATCGCGCAGCACGCGTCAGGCATCACTCATACATGTAAACGATCTTAAGCTAGCACGCATTACACAGCAAGGCACATCACGTTTCAGTAATCGGCCATGATGAGCCTGTACGTTAAGGTTTGGTCGCCGGCTATTTATAAGAATAGTTTGACTTATTTTTTTTTTCGGTTTGGGCGGTTCTGTGCTCTGTAGATGACTTTGAGCTCTAAATGGGGGCATAGCGGTCATATTTCTGTATTTCAGCCTGTTCTCCATTTCCTATTGAGCCATGCCAGGGCTCGCACACATTTGAAGCCATTAATGTGTTGACTGCTTCCATAATTTCGATCGCCGCAACTGCCATATTATCTCGGGGTGAGGCGCCGGGGCTCAAGTAACACGTTACGTTTCAAGCTGATGGCTAGCGTGCCTTATTGCTGATAGTGGCTGACGCACTCTCACCATCGAGGGCCTTCACCCGGCGCGGTCCGCAGCCTGGCCTCGGCTCCGCCCTGCCTGTGTCGTCCGGCTGCCGTGCGTTGTCTCCGTCTGCCGGCGGTGACCGGACTGGCGTGCCCACGCGCGCCCCCGCTCACCGGCGCACCGGCCTCTGTCCGCCGCAGCGCTCAACTTCTCGCGCTCGCTGACCCAGCTGGAGTCGGCGCAGCAGAAGATCGAGGCGGGCCTGAGCCAGGGCGAGGCGCGCCTCGGTCAGGTGCAGGCCGACTGCGCCGCCTCGCTGGACACCATCAAGCAGGGACTCGACTCGCTCGCCGCTCGCCTCGCCGCCGTCAAGAAGTAGCGCCGCCGCCGCCTGAAGCGCGACGGCCGGCGCCGGCGCCGGCCGGCTGGGCCTACTGCACCGCATTTACAGCGCCGCTTATGTGCTCTGCCTTCGGTGTCGTTGCCGGCGTTTGGTCCCAAAGTTGTGCGGGCAGCTCTCGTGTGGGGCTGGAGGCTTGAGAAGTGATACCCAGATGCGACTGGAATACTTTTGAGAGAAGAGCGGTGGTCTGTTGCATGGTTTGGTACTGTGGCCTCCAGGGCTTGTTTCGATTCATTTCAGTCTGTGTTTGAATTATGAAACTCGAACCTGGAGTGTGATGGTCTTCTTGCGTGGCGGCGAGTCTTCCTGGTATAATTCACCCCACACTTAACCACCATTGTGAAGTCACTAGAACTGAGTAACTCCTGAGTGTGGGGTACGATAGCCTGGGGCTGCATTTGTAACCGGATGTTTTGGGCTTTTTTTGGATACGCGTACAGTCTTGATGTGTCCCCTATTTAACTGCTTGTCCATGAAACTGCACGCTTTAGTTGTCGCTTAGAAGGCAAGTGAATATTTATTAAGGTGAGTATTAGAAGCAAATAAAACAGCAACTGACAGCAAGGCTGTATTGTATCTTCTCAGTCGCAGACTTCGTTCCTAAATTCCATGCGATTGTTTCGAAAAACAAGGCCAGCGGCGGATACTCGTAGCTGTGCCTTTTATGCTGGTCATTATTGACCCACAATAGACGACAGGGGCGTATGTTCGTAAAATCAGTGGGGGGGGGGGGGGGGGGTCGAGCTGGGATGTGAATAATGACAACGCACCCCCGCAATACGCCAACCAATTGGCCTCTCTCCGGATGTGCCCAACTTTCTTCTCAAAATCGGGTTGCGGGGGGGGGGGGAGGAAGGAGACATCAAGTTGGGTTGAGCCCTCCCCCTCACTGAGCAGAAAAGTATAGCTGTGGTAGGCGACTTCTTCGCAGCGCTCCCGCCCCGTAGGCTGAATATGAGCTGGGCGTACAGACGGACGTTACCATGCGAACGTAACGTAACGTGAAGTGACGCTCTCATACTCTGGATGGCTCAAAAGATGCCCGGCCCGCGACCGGCGGAAGTCAGTTATGACATTCCTTCAGAACGCCCGCCTGAGCACAACATTAAATGTCGCCATGGGAATGTACTGACACGTTTTGTGTATTCATATGTTTGGCAACAACTTAAAACGAAGCACAAACAACGACTATGACGTATAGTTCAATAGGTGGCAGAGTTCAACAAATAAGTAACCAGCATCGACACAAAAAACAACTCCATATCGTCGTAACAGGCAACAAACGACCATGGGCGACATCTTTAAATCGGAAGCGGCCGCGGCGGAAAACCATTACAAGCTCCCGTTCAGACCAGTGCCACGGATATTCGACGATAACACCTGCGGATCGAAGGCGGCCATGCAGGAATACATCACGCGTCCGGTTCTTGACGAGCGGGCGGCGTCGAGACAGACGAGCCAGCGTGTCTGGCTTCGTCCTCTCACTTGGTGTTGCCGCGAGGTGTTCCCATGGTGCCACTCGTGACGTAGGGAGTGCTAGCGAACGTCATGTTTTGCTGTCGCCACGGGCTCACGAAGTGTTCTCACTGTGATGACCCAGACTAGTCTGAAGCGGCTGTGTGTCTAGCCCGGCGCTCTGTCATCGCTGTCGCCCACGCATTCAAAGGGTGGAAACCGAGTGTTGGAAGCGAGCGCTTAGCACGTGGAGCTGTACGCTGCGACACTAAGGTAACGCTGCGGCACTAAGCGAGCCGTGCCCTGCGACACTAAGGTAACGCTGCGTCGCTAAGCGAGCTGTACGCTGCGACACTAAGGTAACGCTGCGTCACTAAGCGAGCTGTACCCTGCAACACCAAGGTAACGCTGTGACACTGTGAAGGACGCAGCTGTGTCGGTCGCGCTTCAGCGTTCCTGGTGATGCATAATCGGCCACGTGAACTTCAACCCGGCGTGATCGATCTGGTACAGTACCGGCAAAGCAGAATCCAGAGATCTGAAAGCACACGAGCCCGCGTGTCAACCAGACAGCATGCAGCGAATGGGAGATGGTGCCTTTTAAACTTGCCTGCACGCCACTTGCCTGCACGCAATTGAAGGTTGTTCCGACTCACTAACAGCTTACGCTCCCTGCCTTGGTGGTCAGTGCCTCCCTGTCTTGCGTCAGTCAGTGCGAACCCCAACTTATTGGAATGCATTCAGCATCAAGTGACTATGTAACACCACTGATTGATCGCTTTCTGCTTGTCAAGAAAACTGCGATTTGTCGATTTTCGATGTTTGCGATTTTTGTTTGCGATTTTCTAAAACTCCCATGGAACCCGGTCGTGCCCGACTGGGATCAGATGTTTCCGCATAACAGCTGTGTAACCAGCCTACGTACGTAAAGAGGAGCTTGTTAGCCGGACAATGTCACTATTCGCCACTACTGTGCAAACAAGGGCGCCGGAGGCACCCTTGTTTCGCCCTTGTTCTGTCATTTGACCTGAATGGCTTAGTTAGGAATCAAGTCAGTCTGCTGTGTTATCGTGCCACTGTTAGATGCGTTGAAGTAGAATTAGTTTGCTGTCAAGTACGATCAACTATTTTACCAATTCGGGCGAATGTACTAAGTGGAAGAATAACTTGAACAACACCCGGCCATACCAGCCCACGTCTAGCAGTCGAGCATGCCCGCGTCTAGTATATATGCATATAGGTGCGTAAGTGTGTGCGTTTGTGTGTGGGGGGGGGGGATGGCGTGTGTGCGTGCGTGCGGGTATATATATATATATATATATATATATATATATATATATATATATATATATATATATATATATAAGTAACGACTGACGATGTTTTGCGCTGAATGACTCACCCGCATATCTTGGATTGTCTCGTCTTGTACAAAGAAGCTCGCATGACATCCAAAAGGGCGGCATTGAATGGTGGCATTGACACGCAGGCTCGTCAGTGCCAAATATGGGTATCGCATTGTCACTTTGGGCCAATGTGGTGCCAGTTGCATCACCAGATTTGGTGTGACATGAACCTGCAATGAAGTTTGAAGTGACACGCGTCAGAAACAATGGAAGCAAATAGAGAGGACAAGCCGCAGCACCGGCTGCCGCCACTGTATCGGGGAGCCTGGTGGAATGCCTACCTATGTTCCCTATTCAGGCGGTCGCGCAGGGGTGAGAAACTTCGGGTGTACTGGATTTGATCGGTGACAAAAATGGACACTTACGCGAGCCAATTGGTGACAAAACTGCGACAATGACAACAAATTACAACAGGCTAGGCCGTATTACAGCAGACCATCCAAACTAGACGATACCCAAAGCGTGGCGTTGGGCTGCACCCGCTAACACATGCAGCGTGAGCACGTGTGTAGCACATGCCGAAACGTTGAAGTTTCGCTGTTGGAGCAGGCTGAGCAATAAGACGCTGTCAGGCATGGAACCTTTGATCAGGATACCTATAGCGGGTGACAGAAATATACTACAAACTACACTATGCCAGTGTTGACGTCAAAGGTCCGTGGTGACACACTGCTTTTCAAATACCCCTCAGATCAGTTTCTCAAATATTTTTGAGCCGAGATTCACGGCACGTAATTCACAGCACAAAACGTCAATTAGCTGGGTTTATTACTAGTCGTAAGAATCGTGACCGGTCATAGTATCTTGCGACGAGCGGGATCAGTTTAATACGCGACGCTTAAAAGCGTCGTGCACCTTTGAGACAGATGGGGTCAAATGCTCGCCACGCGGTATTAAATTGGGCTCAGTGCAGGTTTGTGGACTGCTGTTGGATGTGTTCATGTCATGAGAATTTGGCTGACTAGAAGAGCGTAGCTAATCGCGATATTTTCAAGGCGCTGTGTGGCTTTTCTGAGGATCTACCATAGAGGGGGTCCCTAGTAATAGCGTTAAAGCTTTACTGATCTAGGAGGATTCTGTTTGTGGAAACCTGAGCTGTAGCTTCAAAAGGTAAACGGAGGGCTTTGGAGCGACACATGTCAAGGGTTCCTCCGAGGCTTCCTGCTGCTGAGAAGGACAGCGGCTTTGAGGTAAGAGGCCGGATATCGCTGGTATGGGCCTCACACACCGCCCTATACACCTCACACTTAGCGTGCTTATTGATGGACAAGCGTGCTATAAAACGCTTTTGATTTTCATACTATTTCACGTAAAGTATGACAGGAGTGCTGTAGGTGCAAAAGGTGTTCAACAATGTAGTTTGTATCAATTAATACCAATATTGCATGGGTTTTGCTCTAAATCATTCGGATCATTTAGGAAGTGCGAGCTCTGCATCGGTTATGATTATGCGAAGACGGTGAAGGTCGTCGACGCTCCTAGCTGGTTGTAGGGTGACGTCAAGAAACCAAGTGATATTGTTTTTAGGTGCTTGTTGAGCCATGTTATCGGTAAATGCAGGGGTACAGGGATGCAGTGTTGCAAAATGCTTAGGGCTGGGGGCGGCGGGAGGTGCGGGAAGAAAAAATGTCTGAGCCTGCCCCCCAAATGCACTTAAACAGTTCTGTTCCCGGACTTGACCCGCTTGCCTTTCAGCAGGAGTGTAGGGGAACAGGGGTGTATATTGGGAGCATGGGTGTAGTTTCTCAACACTAGTTTTGGCGGGCTGAACCTAAAAATTAGGTGAAATAAAAAATTATGCAGAAAAATGATGAGCAAAACTAGAGGGCTGCATCCCTGGTTAGGAAGAAAGACCGCTCAGCCCAATAATAAACCATACGCCGCTGGGCTAATTAGGTTAAGAATGCCTTTATCTGGTAGTTTTATCAGTTTAGTCTCAACCATTATTTAGTGATCGATGGCCAGCAAATGATACTTCAGCGCAAATGAAACTCTCAAAACGAAAATGTTTCATGATCATGCCGCACTGCATTTCACCCGTCCTTGTTTTTGTGGTGCATCGCATTCAGAGTTATTTTGCAACGGTTTCTGAAATATTTGGCTCCAGGTGACAATCTAGACGGTTCCAAATTTCGTCGGGAACAGAAAGGCACTTTTTCACCCTTGCGTGCACCTGTGTTAGCGTCCTTGATCGTGGCCGGATTGGTACCGACTGCGTATGGGTTTAACTGCACGTACAGAAATTCAGAGGTACGGAGCTCGATTTCTTTCAGTGCCCGCCTTTGCTGTCTGGCTGAGTGATAGGCAGGTGAATGTGCTGTAAGACCCCAATGATGAGGATCGTAGCCGGGTGATCGGGTGCACAATAGGAAGCTCAAGGCGCCGAATGATGTGTTAGATGGTTCAAAGCTTCATCGATGCCTTCTCGCCGAAGGCGTGGGGGAAAACAAGTTTGAAAACACTGGGTGAGCACGGGTTTCGACGCCCACGCTGATGTCGCCAGCCTGACATCACCTGAGGCAACATGCCGTTCGTTAACGCCAGGCATGATTTGTAAATGGAGCTCTGCATGAACGTAATGGATTATATATATATATATATATATATATATATATATATATATATATATATATATATTTGCATATGCCTGAATTTGCTGCGTTTGACAGTTGACGTTAAGAGTGGGTAGATATGATTGCAATGAACTGGAGCGGATTTAGAATTTTCATGCAAACTTAAAAACTGTAATTATGCCTTAATACAATGTTCCACATTTGAACGCATTGAA